TATGGATTACATATAAGCTCCCAAATACTTTTGACATTTTTGGCCTTTGGAACAGAGTATATTGATAACAGGCCCAAGGACATTTTGACTTTTAGCCAAGAAACTCGCTACTTTTCTTTGGGGTCTTTTTACCCTAACTACCTAGCCAATTCTTACCTCCTATTCTTATCACACCATCCTCTGAAGGGGTTACCCAGATTGCCAATAAGGAATAGGGACACAAACCACTCTGGCTTCTTCCATGCTGAACAGGGATTCAGGGTGAGAGAAGCGGAGTACCCCTTCAGTGGGTCTATCTAAAAGACTCCCAAATTGTATAACTCTTGTCTCTAAGGGGAGAATAAAGTCCTTGAATCATGAATGGGAGATGTGAAGGAGAAGTAAAGGCAGAGTAATTAGCATTACAAGTTCTAGACAGGGAACTAGAAAAAAGACAGAACAGGGCAATTTTCAAAGGTTCACATGGGAGTCCATTGGAGTTTCTTGACAAGGGCTTCCAAAAGCATCCCTCTAGTGGGTTCTTCCTCAGTTTTCTTTTGTCTTCCAAGGCCGGACTAGTTGGCTGGGAAGAGTGGCTGGATACTCAGTTGAGGACCCTGCTTGGCACTTCTTTAATGAATGAGCACAACCGTCAACAAGCCTAATTGATATTTGTCTGTGTGTGTGTGTGCATGTGTGTGTGTGTGTGTGTGTATCACACAGAACATCCCAAACCATCTCGTTACTATGTTTAGTGATCAGGCTCAGCCGAGGTCATAACGATGGTAGTTATTTCATGCAGAAGGGATTGCTGCATAGCACCATCTTGTTAAAATGACCTGGAATTTAAAAGGATTTGGTGCTAGGAGCCATATATGAGGGAGAACTTACGTTGTTTGTTTTTCTGAGTCTGTGTTTTCACTTAGTATAATAGTCTCTAGTTTCTTTACTGCTGAGTATAACTTTATTGTGTAAATATACCACATTTTCATTATCCACCGGTCAGTTGAGGACTATCTGAACACTTAAGTTGCTTCCATTTCTTAGCTATTATAGGAAAGTCCCATTGTCTTTTAAAAACATTCAGTGCTTTAAAAGTCCAGTGTCTCTTAACTGTGTACTACTGTAAAATTCAAAATAAGTAGCACAATTCTTATTCCAAGAAGAAAGAACCCAGGATACAGTTACAATCATATCAAAACAAAACTGAAGTCCAGCAGTGTAAAAAGTTCAGTGTCCGACTTTTGGGAGTCATTCGCAATCTTTTAGCTCCAAAGGGTTTGGGCAGTTGCACTGCTCTGGCTCTGCCAACTATAGTGCATACACTGTCTTGTAGGAACAGGTGAGTTCCACTCGCACCTGCTGTCCTTGATGATGGTTCCACAGTCCTGGCATCTCCAGGATGCTGTGATCTATACTGCAATTGATGTATAGTGCCAGGCCTCAGCTGCACAGTGCCAGGCCTCAGCTGTTCTCCACCATGCTCAAAACCATGGGAGACCCTTACACATTGCCAAGTTTGACTTCTAGGGTGAGTTGCAATCTTGGCCTCCTCTGGGCCACAGTTTCTGTGTTCTGACACTGAGGAAATGCTTCCTGGAATATTTCACCTCAGTGATACTGGTCTCTTAATCATGGCTGATTTTTCAGCTCTAGCTATCCACTATTCACTATCCAAATAAAGCAAAGATTTCACATCTACAGATTCATAATTCAAATATATCACAAAATGGGCCTGATAGAGTCTTTGCCTTCCTCTGAAGTTGCTCAAGCCAGACCCACATTGCCTGCATTTCTCCTGTCACTCTTGTCTTCCAAGCATCCCCAGAACATTCCAGTAAGTTGTGAGCATTCAGTGGCTTTCCTATCTCAAAGTTCCAAACACTTCTATAATTCTCCCTGAAACCAACCTGGTCAGGTCCATCACAGGAAGATCCCACTCTCTGGTAACAATTTCTTTTCTAGTTTGCCTTTCTGTTGCTGTGGTAAACACCATGACTAAAAGAAACATGGGGAGGAAAAGGTTTATTTTATCGTACATTTCCAGTCAGTCACTGAGGGGTCTCAGACAGGGACTCAAGCAAGAGATGAAGCAGAAACCATGAAGGAATGCTGCCTTCTGGCTTGCTTGACCTGGCTTACTCAGATATCTTTTTTTTATATAGTCCAGGCCCATGTTCCTACAGTGGGGTGGTCCCTCCTAAATCAATTAGCAATTAAGAAAATGCCCCCACAGACATACCCACATATCAGTTTTAGAGAAAGTCCTCATTTAAGATTCCTTTTTCCCAGGGGACTCAAGTTGACAGAAACTAACCAGCACAGGGTTGAAAGTATCTAACCAAGAACTCTGAGAAAGGGCTGGTAAAAAAGTTGTGGAAAGTCATTGCCTAAGCCTGTGATAAGGCAACAGTTAGAAGGAAAACTAGATATGAAATAGAAGAGTTGTTTTGCAACCCATGAAGACAAAATGCAAACCTTTACTATCTTTCATTTTGCTTATTCTAATAATGTTACCTGAAAAAGGGTTGGTGGACAGCCATGGGGCTTCATACATGCCTGGCCTCAGTCTTACCAAGGTTGAAGGGGAAGATCTTGAAGACATTGAAGAACAGTGGGTGTAGTTTCAGTTTCCACCTAGAAAGTGAGACAGTGATCAACAAGGGTCATTCCAAGGCATCGCAAAAAATGTTCACAACTACGTTAGGAATTAAAAATGCTAATGTACATTGCAAGCTAAGGTGATTTCAACCTGTATTGTCTACTGTAATGTATTAGTTACTTTTCTGTTGCTGTGATAGAAGCAGCATGACCAAAGGAACTTATAAAAGGAAGAGTTTATTTAGCTTATGCTTCCAAAGGGGCAAGAGCCTATCATGAAAGAGAGGCATGGCAGCAGAGGTGAGAGGAACAGGAGCAGAAGCTAAGGGCTCACATCTTCAACAGGCACAGGAAACAGAGAGCAACTGGAGATCTGGCAAGGCTTAAGAACTCTGTAATTCCACCCAAGTGATGTGATTCCTCCAGCACAGCCACATCTTCTAAGACTTCCCAAAACAGTGCCACCAAATGGGGACAAAATGTTCAAATACTTGGAGTCTATGGGAACATTCTGATTCAAACCACCATGATAATAACTTTATGACAGATCCAGATAGCTTCCTTAAAATTCCATAGTGACTTTTAACTCTAGTATGGAAAGAGAAGAAATATATATGCTGTTGGAATATTGACTTGAATGAAATTGTCTTATTATCATTATGAGAGAAAGAGACATCCTAAACAAACAGCTACTTATTTACCTTAGTAAGCTAAGGTTCCTGATGCATATTGTAGTGTTCAATAATTTGCAAGATACTTGATTTGACAACAGTGCTGTAAGGTCAGTTTATTCTGAATTATATGTGAGAAAACTGCAGCTCAGAGATTGAGATGACTATCAAGTGGCTACTTAGCCCTTGATAATTAGAGAATGTTCACCAGAACTGTGAACACTCCATGGGCACCTTTCACTGCTAATTCTGCCATCTTACTCAGCACCACTGTCTGACAGTGTTATTAGGACACATTTTTGGCTTTGCTGGGTCCCTGTTCTAATGTCCATTAGTTTTAGACATCATCACTTTCAAGGTCTCTTTCCGCAGGCTTCTAGGAAAGCAAGCATTATGACTTCCTCACTTCTTCTACAGCGTTTTTACAGCTTCCATCATATGCCAGGTAAAGAGGAAGGTATCCTTTACAAAACAACTGTGCAAAAACTTGAACACCTAGGAGGTCGGCCCAGCCTCAACTGAGGTCATTCTTTAGTTCTTCCTAGTCAGCACTTCCTAGCACATACTTATGAATATTCAAAAATTGTATTTTCTTGCTTCCTAGTTGTCAAGATGTAGTTGAACTCATTCACTTGTGTTTACCCATTTAAAACATACACTCAATGCCCAATGCAATATTACTAGAGATTTCAGTAGCCAAGAAGCAGGTGCTTAAATAGTCTGTATTCTCTATTCAATGTCCATGTGCCATGTTTTGTCCTCTTAGATGGAACCCTATTGCATATGCACATCGTTTGTTTGTCGGTAGTCTAGGAGCTTTGTAGCTAATACTGACTTATGAGAACAGGAAGAGGCATCGAGAAATCAAGTCTTCACATCTACCATTAAATGAAGTAGGTGTATTGTTACTCAGCGAATCTAAAGTGCTAGGGTTTAAAGGGCCAAACCTCTGGCTTTACAAATAGGTCATCCATTGAGGAATTGGATGCATTTGAAGTCCTTGGAGCTTATCAGTCTGCCAAGTTCTATTACACTGCACTTTTAGCATCGATGGTCTTTTTCCTTTCTTGGTCCTCCTACTGGCCTCATTCCCCCACCAGATTCCTGGAGTATCTACCTTTCATGTGCTGCATTCTCTGGAGAAACATTTGGAGAATCAAAGACTAGGCTTCTCAAATACACACACAAAAAGAATAATAATAGTAGGTAAAGACATTAGTATTTTGCATCATTCCCTCATCAAACTCCATGATCCTGTTCACCATGCTGAAACTGAGACTCAGCATGGCAAGGCAGCGATAGCTATGGAAGAGAAGCTAGCTCTCTGTGATGCTGAAACCTGTTAGGAAGCCCCTGACTTGCTTCAGGGCATGGAAACTTGTGCCTCAAGGTTCCTATTCAGTTCCCTTTCATGTATAGTTGAACATCTTGGGAAAGAGACATAGTTACTAAGCCGGTGTCTGACAGTTCCTTAGAAGCACACCTTGAACTGTCCCAGCCCACTGGCCATTTGAATTCTGGCCTCTGGTTGGTTATTTCCTTTTCTCCTTTTACAATTTCTTTTCTGTCTCAAATAGCATGGGATATCCTTTAATCAATTCCTGACAGTTGGCCCTGTTTTAATGACATTTTTGTTTCCTGGATATGTTTTTCTTCACTCTCAGGGTAGGAGAGGGGAGAAGGGAGATGTTTCTAGTTCCCTAGTTTGGAAACAAGATCTTTGAATATTTGGAAATTCTGCTTTCACAGCAGGAATCCAGATGTTTCTGTGGTAGAGGCACACCTGACTGGCATGGCTGCAGAGACCTCTGCCAGGACAATTATGCACAACTGCACAATTACGGAGGACCAGGACCAAGCTCTGCCTACTAACATTCATTATAGGTAAGGCCATGTGAAAATGAGATGGGTAATGAGTTCACCATCATTTGAAATGTTTAAAGAGGGACTAGGCGTGTACTTGGCAAGGGTTTTACAGGAAGATTTGAATATTGGAAAAAGAGTTTGAGTCAAAATGACATTTAAGTGTCTTTCCGGCCTGGAGAGTCTGTCTTGAATTCACTTAGAAACTTTATATTGGGAATAAAGGTTTCCCCTTGTTATAATTAACACCAACTAGGGATGTCACCCCCTCCTCCCCCCTTACACTTCCCCCTTCTGAACAACTACTCAATTTAAGAACGAGACTTAGGATGAGGAAGGATGTGGTTCCTTCCCACTTGGCAGCACTTTGTGTCAGAATGGAAGACTTGTGTCTGGGCCTGGCACAGTTCCGTCAGGCCCTCTTACCAGCCCAGTTGTGTCTGTGACCGGAGCACGTGGGAGGTGCACATCCGTGTAGAAAAACCGCCCACTGGTTGCCAGCTCTGAATTTTCTTTTTTTCTTTCTTTCTTTTAATTTGTATAGAATGCAGCTTTGCCCAGGGCAAACGTCTTGAAGGAATGGGGGACACACCCTGAAACAAGTTCTAGTCAGACCAGACAAGCATTCCCTGAAAAATATCCCCTTTGCAGCTGGCAACAGATGAAACAGGGTCTTTCAGAGAGATTTCTCCTGGCCATTTCAAAGGCAAGCTGTTAGCAGGCCAAGATGTCAGGAATGTGGCTGCCACCCCCACCTCTCCCGCTTCTCTTTTTCTCTTAAATTGGCTTATTGCTACTTTGAAAGCTCTGATGTTCCAAAATGATAATTCTGCAATATCAGAATTGAGACAATTCATTGGCTCTTGAAAGAAGGAATGCTGCAATGAGAGGAAATTATTCAGCAGCTAGTTTACAGCTTGAGTTTGAAAGAGTAAAAAGCAAGGCAGAGTAGCCATGGCTCCAAGTGATCAGAGCTGCACTGAGGACCACAGTGCTTTTCAGTTAGATAAGGTGACCTTCCCCAAAGAACATGGAAACAGTTCGCAACCCAATTCAAATGAAATGTGGTATCTTAGCATGCTTTGTCTAAGTCTACCACACTGGGATATCTGAAACTATGAATTTTTATCTCTTATCAGGGAATTTCAGAATGCTTAGATATCTTCAGTTTAGGTCAGTTCAAGCTGTTCCCAGGAAATAAAGATGTTACAAACTTGCTGGCTGCAAGAACTCCCCAGGGATCTGATCAGCCCTGCCTGTAGAAGTTTGGCCAAGATTTCCCACTTGCACCATAAATCTTCACCAACTGATGGGCAGGAATGGCAGCTTCAGCTTCTTCAGCAGCTTGCTTATTACTCCTGGGCCCTGCAATCTGTCTTCTTTTGATACAGGACCCTTGCCTGTTTAGACATGAATCTTTCCTGGCATCTAAATGGTATGTTATTTTTAGGAGACATCTAACAGAGTTGGGAGGCAGCATGGCTTCATCATCTGAGAGAGGCCTCAGCTAAGAATCAAAAGACATCTCCTCACATTTCTTCTAGCAAGTTACAAACATCCAGAAAGTCACCTCTCCTGCCTGGGCTTCTGTTGCCCAGCAGTGTCCCAAATGACATTATTGACTTCTGAGGCCCTTCTGGCTTTCAAGAGGCTATCTTGATAAGAAGATTGATAAGAAGAGTGAGAGAATCAAAAAAGAATAGTAGCAAGTTACAGAATGCTGGTTTGGGAAAATGAAGGCACTGTTTAAAGTACTTTACAGAAGACCTCTGTTGCAACAAAAACACAAAGTCCATGTGGCATGTGCATGGACAGCCCCAACTGATCATTTCTATTTGCTGAGAGCTGACTAGAAATAGAATTTGGAGCCTCCAGGAAGCTTAAAGATCATGATGTGTGATTCACTCACTTATAAAACAACTGTGAGTTTCATGTCAAGAGGGTTCCCAGATCCTTGAACTTGTCCCCTGCCCCGTTAGCAATGTGCAGTCTCACACATTGCCTCTCAGTTTATTAAGAATAGCCATAACTTAAAGAGAGATCTAGGATATTTTCAAAGTTGATTGACTCTCAGTAATGGAATTGGCAGCCAGAAGAGTGTTAGCAAGATTTACATGCACGTTTATAGAGCCTAGTTTCCCCATTATAAATGTATCACACATATTTTCCTCTACTGTGCAGCTCAAATTTTGAAACCAATAAATGCCTTGTTCTGTCTTTTGTGTTTTCTTTTTTCCCAGTAAAACTAGGCCCTGTGGTTCATTCTAAGTCATTCATTCACTCCAGGGCCAACCATGTTCACATTTCTGATCAGAGCCAGCATTCTCTAGGGTGAAAATTAAGCTTTCTGAAAAACAATGATAGGTATATTCTAGGTTGTAGGCCATTATGGAAAATTAAAGTCTCAATTTTAATTACCAATTTTGCAGTCCACTAGTGGCCTCAACACAGTGGCATAAAATCTATGTCATGATTGCTTCCAACTCTGATTGAACCCATACTTTTTTCTTTCTGTTTGTATGGTGTAGTAGGTGGCCCAAAGTCTTCCTTGAGTCTCTATGATTGAGGATTTTATGAAAATTTGGATAGGACATCTTTCAAAAGTATACTCCATGCTATACTGAGGTCTTATAGCAAGTCTCCTGGGAAAATATGCTTTCTGTTCAAGCTTGCTCCATCTCTGTTTGGAGTAGGGACCCAGGTAACTAAATTGCTGGAATGAGGATTGAATAATCTGTGCTGTACACGAAACTGAGTTTTTATAAACATCTGTACATCCCAGTTATTGGTTAAATATCTGGTTTGCCTGTTTCTTGGCTGTTGAATATCTATTTATGACTGACACTGTTCAGTAATTTTAACTACCTGTCAGAAGTAAGACATGCATTTTGTTATGTAAGCCTCACTTTCCTCCTCATTTAGACATTACTATCCTTGACCAACAGACTCATTTCAGATATTTACAATGGTCTTGTGGAACATTAGGAATTTTTTATTTTTAGGGAAGATGAACATAAGCCTAAGAGTGGTATAAAAAGGGGAAAAATGAAATAACTAAAATGCTTCTAATAGGGAAATAATTGAAATACATTGCAGTATAGCTAGAAATACAATCCCATCTGGTCATTAAAGGGAATAAAACACAATTACCTGAGCTGATCTGGAAATTATGAATGAAGAAAATGTAGATCTATGTGTGATTCACTTTCTGTAAAAAGGAAAATTAAATGTGAAAATGGAAAGCTCTAATTCTGGTAATCACGTGTGCTTATGTTGTGGCTGGGGAGAATGGATGAATCTCCATTCTCCAAAGGAGAGATGGGATTGCAAGGTGTTTACTCCAATCTAAAATAATTTAGAAAATGAGAATAAATTCCTCCAACATTACGACAAAAGTTTAAAAACACACAAGAAAGCTGAGAATATGCTACAGCGAATGCCTATATAGCCACCACCTAGATTCTCCTAACATTACGTAATGTTTGTTTGATTGCATATCTAAACATTTCTGTATCTATGCGTGACCTTGTTTGTGTATTGTAGTATTTGTAGACTTGTTTCCTTTCTTAAGGAATTCCCCTGGAACTTATTGCTAAATTAACTTAATTGTCCATCCTAGGGCCAATATCATTCTTAAAGATTTTACTGATTTGGACAAAACACAAAGCAGTATTGATAGAAAATTTATCAGATGCCTTAGCTTGAGATGCTTTTCTCCTTTTCTTTAGCAATAATCTGCTGGAAGGTACACAGTGAATTTGTCCTTTAGGCTTTGGCATTTTCTTGAGTTTCCTGGACATCCTGTGTGCCATCCCTGTACCTGCCACTCTCATTTGACTCTGTTCTACGCTTCTATGTGTAGGCAGCTGTGTAAAACACTGTGCATTATTATAGCCTCATTTGATTCTTTCATGATACTACAATATTTAACACTTCCAGTCAGAATCTGAGAACAAATATAAATGATATGTGGTCCCACTAAGTTGCTGCTTTATTTTACGAGGTTCAGGGGAGGACACACGGTGCTTGGGACAGCATATGCTTTTTGTTTGATCCCAAATAATTTCATTTGAAGAAATGCTATTCTTTTGAGACTCCTAACTAAGAAAAAATTAGATGGGGTAATAATTATAAAAGCAAAACCTAAATGTGCAATATGAATAATTTTAGACTAGACCTAAATTCAAGGATCTGTAATTTTGCGTGATTCATTTCAACTACTGTAATTTTCCAGTCTTGCTGCTGACCAGGCTTTCTTTTCACGCTCCTTCACTCACAGAGTCAAATCCAGATAGCATCTGCCTGGTTTCCACCAATTCTTTCATTCTAGACCATAACTTTTTGTCTACTTCTTTGCAGACTGTACCTTACCAGAGTTTTGGCTTTCCTCTAATATTTTGATCACCTTTCTTCTTTCTGAATTTTGGTCAAGTTCTTCTCCCTTTTATAATGTCTTCTCTTCTCTGGCCTCCTCTCCACTGGGTGTTCTAGCTTGCCTGTATCTACTCACACAGACCTGCAGGGCCCTGCTCCATCTGCTTCTATTCCTGTTCAGCATGGAATCTTCTGTTTAACTTTTTTCTAAATGAAGAAGGGGTCAGTTCTAGCAGCATTCCCCTCTGCAGACTGTCACATTGTTCTTTCTTAATGCATGGTCTCGGGAAGCAGCAGCTACAGCAACCCCTGGGGGTTGACTGGAGATGCAGAAGCCTGTCTTGCCCTAGACTCAATGACTGCAAGTCTCTGCAGTCTGCCTAGATTTTCAGCTATCCTTAACACAGCTCACCAGTGGATCAGCACCAGCAAAGAGCAAGTCTACAACTGCTCTTTCCTTCAGTTTCTTTGGGTCATTGCATTCTGAAACCAGGATGTGTGATCAGAAACTATCTCCATCTTTCCTCTGCAAGGCAAGACGGAGTGATTCCTGTGCAGAAGGGGCTGTAAGTGTGTGCTAGGAAAAGCCTGTGCTCTCAATGAGAAGTGTTCAGAGGACATATCCCAGCATCAATTCTGTTTCCTCC